TTATTACCATGATGTACATGGTAGTTTTTTACTTATGTGTTATTAATAACGTGTGCATACTTAGCAATGTTTTCCTCACTTAATCTGCAGTGCACTATCTGCTATTTTTAATAATGTAAATTACCCCGTTGCGGGACAAATACAGGATTTCTGATTATGATATTTGTTGTAACACAAGGACATTCAGCTTATATGCACTCACACTAACACATTATTTCGTATGGATGTTTTCCTATAATATTACATATTTCATATATTACACTGTCTTGACAGCAAATCTGAAAGTAATGGGTTATAGAGTATTGGTTGGGTTTGATTGTGGTTGTCAGAGTCTACTCATGTGTATAGTCGTCTGGTGTCCAAACATTGAAATGAACAACATGGGTGACCCCCTTCATTTCTCAGGTGTTTAAATGCGATGGTTAAAATTGAAGGCCAATGGATGAAAACTTTAGAAGTAAATCGATTCAAGATATCATTTAAAGCCACATTTATTTTTCAAAAGAATGTGTTTAGGAGTCATTTTACTTGATGTATCTCAGTAGATTAGTTGAACATCTTCACCTCACTCTCAACATAATTACCTCACACCAGTTACACTGATGTGTTCAGTTTCTAAAGTGGTTCCTGTGATGAGACAGTAAGGGACATGGAGAGATAGAAAGGGAGATGAGTATGTCTGTGTGTGTGCGTGCGTGCATGCGTGTGTGTGTGTGTATGTATGTGTGCTTCAGTATCCGTATGGCTGTGTTCATGTCATGTTGGTTGGTTTGCAGAGCAGTGCAGAGCAGATGGGTTTATAATGAGGAAACAGAATGATTCTGATAATGATGACCGGATAATTATACTGCATCTGAAACAGAGAGGAAGGCGCAGGGAGTGTGGCAGTGGTGTTTTAAAAAAGATTAAAAACAGAGTGGAATGGATGACAGAAAGAGGAGTACATGTACACAAAGAGGGGTTAGATGAGCCCAATTCAGTGTGTCATGGGAAATGGAAGAGAAGGGGAGCAGAGAAGGGGAAGATGAGAGCAAGTTGCCCAAAGACAACAACATATCTTATACTGAAATATGTACACTCTAAGTTGAACAATTGTAAAAGGTAGCCATAAGAAAGCACATCTCATTTTAATGCTGACATATTCTGTTGTAGATAAAAGACTTAAACAACATCTATATTTGAAATATTTTGGGCATGTTTTAGAATTCCTCTTTATAAATGCCTATGACTAAGGACTAATAAACTTACTGTATGTGCCAATCATACCCGATCTATGTATTATATATCTATATCTATTCAGTCTTACTGTAATATTTGCTTGAAGTACAGATAAGCAGTAACATCTTTGAGCAACTTATTTCAGGTGAAAGGCCTTAGCCTTGAAATGTCTAATACACATAAGTAATTAATTCACACGCATAAAAGCAACCCTTAAAAATGTCTAAATAGTTTTACTGCTTTTCAATCCAACATGACATCTACCATAGGATAACTGTAGGACTTTAAGAAGTGAAATCATTTAATGGCCCTGAGTGTCAGTGACAGTATTGAACACTACATTTTGAGGTATAATTCACACCTGCTGTTGTTAAATGTTAAATAAAAGGCCTCTCTTGCAACATTATACCGTGATGTTAACTCCAAGCATGACAGAGTGTGAGACAAGAGCATGTTTCAGCAGATGGTTTCAATCAGTTTCGATTTACAAATTCAACTTGCTTTTATCGGGCAATCTGTTCTCGCTGATATGATGCTAATGTGACATGCTTGGTGTGGTCTATGGTTGAGGTTTTATACAGGTGTAGGAAAATTGAAAAACAGTTTCTGCAGGAACAGTCAAAAACCTGCAGGCTCAATGACATGTTGACAGGTACATGTACAGCACATGCTGTGTCACGCACAGAGCATAGGAGACAGAAACTAATTGTTTGAGTGTATTTTATATGTAAAAATATGTGTATATGTATCTTTATTCACCCAACCATAAAGGAGAACATGCAGTATTGTAGTTAACACTTTGCCATCTAAATAAAATACTGATAAGTCCAAGTTAGCATTTATTCACAACTCTGCAGCTCTACTTGGCAGCTGAAAGGTGAGATTGGGTTTTAAACCAAATAATAATAAGAAAAGATACAATGGAAAATAACAAGTGTATCAAAGAGAGGATGTCAAGTTATAGTTGATATGAGAGCATAAGGAATGTAAGAAAATATATTTATTGCCGGGAAAAAAATAGTAGTTTGCTGCATTCTTAAAAAGAAAAGCCAACAGTTCAAACACTCTAGCAGGTGAGTTTGTGTTTAGGAAGCAGTAGGGTGTGTGCTTCACTCTGGCTGTTCTGACAATAATCATTGAGACCTCTGACGCTGCTTTTTTCACATTAGTCTTTGTTTCTTCTTTGACTTTTATGTTCAAAGCTAAAGTATCAGCGAGATGTCACACACATGCACACATGCACACACTCACACACCTTCTGCTTTGTACTTAAACAGACACTTTCCCTTTGTCCCTCTTTTATTTGGTATTCATGCACATGCACATATATACGCACACACCGGGCTCACTGACAGGTCATTTCACCACAATCTAAAATAGCTGAGTGGAGAGAACAGATGCTAAATATAGAGGCAAACTGAGGAGAATACCAACGACTTTCAAGATCATACAATACAGACGAGCAGTGTGATGCTGGCGATAAGGCATTGTTATACAATTACAGGGCAAGACCTAAAGATGGTTAATGAAAGGATTAAAATAAATCTAAGCAAAAGTGATTTTTGAGAAGTTGAATTTAATTGGAATTTTGCTTTAGCAAAGTCGACGAAAACTTTAAAAATGTAATACAGTCTTGATAATTCCATTGTAATGCTGCATTCAGTATTGTTTTGTCATTGTTTACTTTGTGCTGGCTTGTTTAGGATTTTTTTTTGCAAAATAGACATTGCATTTTCATAAAATATACAGTCTAAATTAACTGTATGAATTTCATACAGCATTCTGATATCCGGCTGATCTACAGTATGTGTGTTTATGTTGGACTTTGGGTAGTAAACAAAACACTATGTGAACAATGTATTCATATTTCAAAAGGTAAGACATCTATTCACATTCAAACAAAATGAAAAAAGCACCTCAAATGAACACAGGTTGGGTTTAAGGAGGGAAGATGTGCTCCTGATCAAAAGAGAAAGGAGGAGGCAAATCAAATAATTGAACATGAGCATAATTTTGCAATTCACTGGGCACAAAATGTTCCCACAGTTAATTAAGTTAAGGAGATTAATTAAGTCATTCCAGGTTAAAAATTCTGAATACAAGGTAACAAATTAGTATCATTACAAATTACTTTACCTCCCTCAAGACCTACAAGGCTTAATAGATAACAATTGGCAATATAGTATTTTAAGATGGAGCCCTGGTGGTTTATAAAAGACACTCTTCTGAGGTTTGCTATCATTTAAAGTATCTCATTGAAGCTAGCAGCACCTGCCATAAAGGACTTAAACATGGCTGCAGCATCAGCATACAGTACCACAGAGTATCCCCTTGTGTATAATTGTTTTGATGGTAAGAGGCAGAATAAAGTGTGGAGCTGAAAAGTGTGTGTGTGTGCATGTACAGTATGTTGTACATGTTTTAGTTTTTTGAAGGGAAAGTGGGGATGTCTCTTGTGAAGATAATTAACATATTGTAAGTAAAAATCAGCATTTGAATATGTCATATGAATTACAACAATTACACCTGGCAACCTGAACAAGCATGTCACAAAGATTGTCCATACTGCTGCTCGGGTCACTGCTCATTGAGACATGTTGTAAGGAAGTTAGTGAGAAAGAACATGTAATATCATCCTTACGATTGTCATTATTAGACGTTGGTGGACAACTTATTTGCACGGCACCGTGTTCTATGTCTACAAACAATCAGCTACCCTACTATTGTGTCACATTGCTGTTTCATGTCTTAGTGATGAAACGACTTTAGGGCTCTGGTGGGAGTAATGATTTTCTAATAACCTGCAGCGGCGTGTTGTAGCTCAGCTGAAATACTGACTGCCAACGTGTCTGCAACCTGTTCGATGTGTGTGTGTCTATGTGTGTGTGTGTGTATGTGTGTGTGTGTGTCTGTGTTTAGCTATGTACTGTCCTTTATTGAAGCAAACTGTCAGTTTCAATTTGATAGTACTTTAATTCTTATTGGGATGAATTGTTAAAAACTGACATAACTTTTGCATCAGTGCCCAAATGCTTCAGTTCAGTCATTGAACATTGATATTGTGCTCTGACTTATAGGTTTCCCGTTGTCATGATTCTAACTGGGGTCTTCACGTCTTATTTTAGACAGCTTGTAGTATAGATTTATTGCAATATAAATACAAATATATATACTATCGAGTTGAGACATTGTGTGGCAGGGAATAGGGTTGAAAGCCACGCAACCCCATCTTATAGGAGTTTGGACGATGAGCACCAAGCTGGGGTGTTCCGATATTTGTGCAGATAAGTGAGCCAAGCTACTTCTGTGTTTTGTATAAATGGAGGAAGAAGAAGTGTCAGCCTTTGGTGGCAGGAAGGCTTGGACATTAGTTGGACAGCTTATTTTTACGTGTGAACAAATCAGCCCAAATGTCACATGGTTTACGACTTTAGTCCTTACTGAAATATTTGTACAACTATTGGATGGATTGCAAATATAGTGTACACACATTCACTTAGTAATCCCCTAGATTATTATCCAACATTATCATCAGGTTTATAATGACAAGTGTTCTTGCCAATATGCTTAACTAAGAAGGCAAACAAGGTCAACATTATATCTGCTAAATATTTCCATAATAAGATTGTCATCATGAGTATTTTGGCAAGCTAATGTCAGCATTTAGCTCAAAGCACTGATCCTCTTAAGTAGCCTCACAGAGCCGCAAGTGTGGCTTTTAGACTTTCCTATAAACAATCACGCACTAACCCATGTCTTGTTTTTCTGTGCTCTTTCCTCAGGTCTTTGGATCTATATCCCCGGGCCATCTTTTCAGTGCATCTACCAGTCACAACTATGTATCTTCATGTTGAGTCCTAATAAATCACAGCAGACCTCATAGAGGTAAGCAAGGACTCAGTAACCGTTTTTACTCTGCTTATTGCCCTGTATGCATTTTTTAAATGTTCCAATGGAGCGATGCAACATTAACTCTGTTCAGAATTGTGCTTGCTTGTTTCTTTTAAAGTGAATCTGAAACATTTATTGCCAATGTAAATTAATAAAATGTTAATGGTTCCCTTTGGGAAGTAAGATACTGTACGTATAGGGTATTTCCTAATGTTGTGGATTATACAGTTAAAATACAGACATGATATACTTTCCTAACACTAACAAACTAGAAATATTAGTTTTAGTTTTGACGTGCCAGTTCCTGATTTACTTTTGGAATATAGTCATGTATGTGTTTTGTATTATGGTTGCTTTCCCCTTAAGTACTTAGGCATGAGTTTGTTAAACATCCTTCATATGCATGTGTACAGTATGTGTGAAAGTAAATGGGTTTATAATGTATGCAGTTGCCTCCCCGATGTTCCATACTAATAAGAGGTTGAGTGTACTTATTCCCATGTGGATGTAAATCTCTCCATGTATGTATGCTGTCTCGCTGTGGCTGTGTGTGTATGTCTGATAAGAGCAGCACTGCGGTCCTCTGTGCTCTGCTTCTGTCAGAGACAAATTAGCAGGGCTGTGAAAGTACGGAGGCCAGACAGGTTTACACCGAGGCAGCTCAGCAGAGCACAGATGGTGGAATTGATATATTTGGATGGATGTTAATCGAAGAGGGAGTACAACCCTATACATCCAGTATACTCAAAACCTTTGTCGAAGCTGATTTCATCAAAATAGTTACATAACTTACAGATCATCAATTGTCAAACCTCCCTGCTGTTGTCTCAAATACTATAACAAAGTATCTTAGTAGGACATTCACACTTGCCATAGAAGGGAGACCTCAGTGCTGGCTGAAGCAATATTAGACTAATCTTATTATTCAGCTTTAATATTGTTGCTAGATATATAGATGCAAAATAAATGTAATCTTGTCATTCATCTATTGGACTACACATTTTGCTTTCTTACAAATATGTATAGTGTAGCATAGGCTGTGATGTTTATAAACCTGCTGGGTTGTCACAGGAACAGATTGTAGACAGTGGAGATTTATTTTTTGCTTCACCCTTTAGACCAGTTGGAACAGAGGTCACATAAATAAATATTTCAGATACTGAAACCAACATGATCTATAAAGCTTGAAAGATAAACTGCAGATATGCACTGATTCTCTGTACATTGAAACATCAATATATGAATTGATTGGATAGTATACATGTGTATAGTTGTCACTATACAACAAGTAAAACCTCGACCCCAGATGCTCCTTTATCTCTTTAGTTTCTACTGGCTGGCTTTTCAAGTGAGCAGAAGGTTACAACTTTATTTGATTGACCTTTCTTTCTGTTCAAAATCCCATACATTTGGGACTTCTGGCAGCCATTCAAAAAGTGGTCTTAAAGACTAGTCAGACAATCAGTTAAAGCCATAACAGTTCTCCAAACATCTTTTGGCAGTGGAGGTGAGCAATTTCTCCCAACGGTATATTCTGTTATTGCTTTAAATCCCCCTTCTTGTAATAGTTGTATGCATTGCATGTGCAAACTTTGGGATCCTATCTAACTTCATCCTAGTTCAACAAAACACACATTGGCTGTACGTGGAGGATAAGGAGATTGTATTTATACTTATATAGTTAACAGAAAAGCATCAAACACAAAATAACTTCAAATCTTAAAGAAAAAATATAAAAGCTTCTCCTAAGATTATCCTTTATCTGATATTTAACTTTAAAGTCAAACTTTAAGGGCAAGTACTTTTTTATATTATTCTCAGTTTTACACAGTCAGCTGACTGTTGTTTTTGTAACATAAATAAGTGTTTTATTCATTACGAGAGTCAGCATTTTCATTGTTTATAGACATTATGAGAATGAAGCTCTCTCATAATGTTCCTTTGTCTATAAAAACAGCTACTATGGCATAGTGATCTCGTTCAAATGCAACTGTACATTTTAGTTACAGTTCAAGAAACATTTAAAAAACAATAAACAAGGACATAAATGCTTGTTTCAATCAGAGTAAATGTGGCTATGGGTAGTTTCACTGAGGTTGAACTGCATCTAAGTCAAGTCAAAAAAGGTCCTATGACTGCTACACACTCTCTCTACAGCTAACGTATCAGAGTATATTTACTGGCTTACACATCATGTTATACATAGAACATTTCAGAGGTTGCGGTACAATTTGCACCACCATTGTATGTTTTCCCCTCCTGCTTGCAGCCTTCCCTTCCTTTCTGGCTATGTATTATTTTCTGCAAAAACCCAAGTAAAACATATGCCCTGAGCAGTTTATTAGAGTGAGCTAAACGGCAAAACATCCAAGATATTTTACATTTCAGTAAAGTAGTTTCAACCTTGCAGAGAAAAAAAAAAGATATACTCATCCAACACTGATGCAACTTCAAATTATTCACTTTTGACATTCAAATAACTTTTTACATAGTTTTCAACGAGACATCGAGTCAAACAACAATCTTCTTATCTGCCTTATAATTTGAAAGATAACTCAACATTTCTCATTTGAACTATCTGGTATCTGTCACAATACAGCATCTTTCTATTTCTTTATCCCCTTGTGAAATATGTTCATAGATTAGAATAAAGTAGGCATCATGCTATCAAAGAAGTTTCCACTTATCTAAGATCAGTTATCTTGGAAATTGAAGGGGATTGATGTGGGAGGATCGGATATTTGAAGTCTACATCTCTAGAGTTTAACGCCCCGGCTCCACGAGGACGGAAACTGGTTGAATCCGCATATTTCTCATGCGTATAGCCCTCTAAGCTCCACGACGCCGTAAGGGAAACGTAGAAACAGACCCCGCAAACGACAACGGGTCCAAAGGTGGATAGATCTGGGAACTGAGCGCTCTGGGGGGGTCCAACGGGGCCGTGGAGTCGCCTATACGGTCATTCGTTTTCATAGCCCCGCCTCTCCCTGCCTCTCCCCCACGGGGTTGCTATCGTGCTCCAGTCGCTACTGACCATGCTACAGTTCTTTGTGCAACATCTACAGGAGCTCCTCCTTGAATTCAGATTATTTATCTTTATCTCGATATGGACATAAACGCGAGTGAAGTCTAATCTGACAGGACGGAGACACGCAGCTCCTGCCGCTGTGATGCAGCGGGAGCAAAACACACACTTCAAGTCAGATCATCACCCTTAGCTATTTTAATTACCTCTCAAACTACCTAAACTAGTTATAAATATGTTCATTTTTACTGTCGGGTCACTCATTACAGGATCAGCTGCTGCATGAGACAGACACTGACGCTGTGAGAAGAGAGGAAAAAGAGACAGGCTCCGTGTATGATTATATATCATTATATCGTCGTTATTCATTTGTTTTAAAGCTCAATAAATAACAATGAAGACCTTTGATCGGCACTTTTATAATTTTGTCCGGAAGATTTAAACTTTAACACACGCTGACCGGCGAAAAACTCTGCCCGGTTCTGTCGGCCCCCACCGCGGAGAATACACAGAAGTGCAGCCATGACAACCATTCTTCTTCGCTGCTTTTGTGGAGGAAGTTGCTGCTTTTGTGGAGGAAGTTACAGCGCCACGTACAGGTTCGGCATATGTACTGCAGCTTTTCCAGCGTTTGGATGTAAACGGGGCCGTCTCGTGGAGCTTGATACAATCCGGTGTATATTGCGTGGGGACGGGAGGTTTTTTGCGGTTGCATTTGCGTTACTCCGATGCGTTTTGCCGTATTTGTCCTCGCCTTAGATGCATAAATTCACAAGTATAGAAAGACTGGAATAGGTCACACTGATTCCGTGTGTGTGTGTGTGTGTGTGTGCGTGCGTGCGTGCGTGCGTGTGTGTGTGTATGCGTATGTGGTTTTAATTGCTATCTTATTATACTGTAAGTGCCGTGTATGTGTACGCATGCATACATAGAGTTCACATATGGGTTTTATGCTCTTCAATCAGCAGTATTTCACCTTTTCTTATGTTTTTATTCACAGTTAAAAAAGCGCTCAAGTCAATAAGAAGTCACCATCTCTCATTTAAAGTTACAGGTTGACATCGTACTTGTGTGAAACAATGCATATCCACTTATTCTGATTCATAGCCATTTATTTTGGGATACTGCAGGTTGATCTTAGATGTGTCAGGAAGATTCAGATTTCTAGCAACGAGGGCACTGTTAGATGTCAACATAAATATTGAATACTTAGGTCTAGATATTTAATATCTTGTACAATTGGAAGAGCTTGGTAGTCTTAAGAGGATAAGGTAATTTGTCAAGCCAAGAGATAAACTTAAGAGTATGAGGCTCTTGACTAGTCTTAGGAGACAATGTATCAATAATTAGTGAACAAAGCATTGAGCATTTTTCGAGTTTGCTTTGTCAGCCTGTGCATGGTAATATGCCAAATGTGGTGCCATTTTTCACAACATGTAATTTTGTTTGTGAAAACATGCCAGATTCAATTTAGTTTGGAGTATGCAGCTGGCCTTACAGAGCTGTCCAATTATGGAAATCGTACACCATCAATTGGTGACGTCAATTGACCAGACGCAAGTCTTATGTCATAAACACTGCACATCACTGATGAAGGCTATTGTATATGTGTGCCTGACATGTTTAAGATGTACCAAATGTGTCAAACATGCATGTTTGTTTTTTTTATCACAGTGGGCGAACTCAAAGATAATAATGTCAGTAAAAATGCATGCTGTTTCTTAGATACTCTATGATATGTAATATGTGTTCAAATTCAAACATCTCTGCTGTCCAGTCTTGTGGCCCAGCGATATTGTGGAGTCTTTCAGCTCTGACACACTTACACGCTGTAGGCATTATAAGATGATGCTGTTGCTCATTAATCATCAATAATTTGTTTCTATAGGAGAAACACATACATGTTTTAAAAAATATTTTTTGCCACAATTTAGTCATATGCAAATGTCAGAATAAGTCAAGATGTTTG